GTCTGGAGACTGGCTAGGCCACTCCAGAACCTTGATATGCTTCTTACAGAGCCACTCCTTGGTTCTCCTGGCTGTGTGCTTCGGGTCATTGTCATGTTGGAAGACCCAGCCATGACTCATCTTCAATGCTCTCACTGAGGGAAGGAGGTTGTTCCCCAAAATCTCTCACTACATGGCCCTGGTCATCCTCTCCTTAATACAGTGCAGTCGTCCTGTCTCTTGTGCAGAAAAACACCCCAAAGCATGATGCTTCCTCCCCCATGCTTCACAGTAGGGATGGTGTTTTTGGGATGGTACTCATCATTCTTTGTCCTCCAAACACGGCGAGTGGAATTAAGACCAAAAAGTTCTAGTTTGGTCTCATCTGACCACAGAACTTTCTCCCATGACTCCTCTGGATCATCCAAATGGTCATGGTCAAACTTAAGACGGGCCTGGACGTGCGCTTATTTAAGCAGGGGAACCTTCCGTGCCATGCATGATTTTAAACTATGACGTCTTAGTGTATTACTACCCACAGTAACCATGGAAACAGTGGCGCCAGCTCTCTTCAGGTCATTGAACAGCTCCTCCTGTGTAGTTCTGGGCTGATTCCTCACCTTTCTTAGGATCATCGATACACCACGAGGTGAGATCTTGCATGGAGCCCCAGTCTGAGGGAGATTGACAGTCATGTTTAGCTTCTTCCATTTTCTAATAGTTGCTCCAACAGTTGATCTTTTTTCACCAAGCTGCTTGGCAATTGCCCCGTAGCCCTTTCCAGCCTTGTGGAGGTCTACAATTTTGTCTCTGGTGTCTTTGGACAGCTCTTTGGTCTTAGCCATGTTAGTAGTTGGAGTCTTACTGATTGTGTGGGGTGGACAGGTGTCTTTATGCAGCTACCGACCTCAAACAGGTGCTTCTGATTTAGAATAATAAGTGGAGTGGAGGTGGACATTATAGAGGAGGACTAACAGGTCTTTGAGGGCCAGAACTGTTGCTGATTGGCAGGTGTTCAAATACTTATTTGCAGCAGTAACACACAAATGAATTATTAAAAAAATCATACATTGTGATTTCCGGATTTTTCTTTTAGATTATGTCTCTCACAGTGGACATGCACCTAAGATAAAAATTTCAGACCCCTCCATGATTTCTAAGTGGGAGAACTTGCAAAGTCGCAGGGTGTTCAAATACTTATTTTCCTCACTTTATATGTGTATGTAAATTAAAACTCTGATGAACCAGATTTTACAAAAACATCTAGATTTACATTTTTATAGGTTTTCATCATCATTTGATGTATTTGCACTCATTGTCTACTTTGTCTATTTTTAATGTTCATTTTAGATGTGTGGTTTTCTTTCTTGTTCTCATATATACATTTTATTTTTAGCTTTGCTTTAAAGTTCTTGTTTTGTGATTTGTACATTTGTGGGTTAAAATAAAGTTGAACTGAAGGTCGTCTCTTTTCTTTAAACATGTTTTAGGGAAATATTCCTGAGATCCAATAGTTCTATTTCGTATAGGCTTCGCCCTTTAAGGCTTTTGCTTAGTGGGTTTATCCCGTTATGCGCAGCATAAGCACTGAAAAATTTAGTCCACGCCCACCTGCTGTGTGGGCCCCACCCTGTCCGTATAAATTACGTTAAGAGCGGGAAATCGACTCCCATTTTTTCTTCAGCGAGCTAAATAGCACTGTCAGAAGAACAAAGAAGGAAAATTATGTAGATGACCAACCTTTGTTAAGGATGCTTGGCCCGGCAGTCGACCTCCGGTTGTCCGGTGAGTTCTCCTCCCCGAGGAGAAGCTGACGAGCAGTCTTATTTCAAGGTAAGCGCCGAGGAATATTTCTCAGTGACAGGTCACTACACGCTGGACAACGCTATCTTGTATTTTTCCTCTTATCGCCGACCCTCTGAGCGAATCGGATGGTTCCTGTGGGACAGGCGCGCTCAGCTGCAGCCCCCGCTGCTCATTCCCTTCTGTGGAGCGTAGTGTCGGTGGAGGGGGGCTGAGTGAATGCTCACCCCATCCCACCTCGTTTCGCATCGGCGATCACACCGCTCCCGGCCGACGGCGCCCTCAGGGGTTGCCCGGCGTAACCCAGGAGGCGGCTGACATGAAAGGACCCCTTTTTTACGTCCTACGCCTTTTCCTGCCAGTTCGGATGATCCGGCGGGAAGGTTGTTTACTGGGCTCCATTCTGGCTCACCGTCTTCATCCATATGGCCTCATGTTCCCAACAGGACGTCCTACGGGCGAGGCCACAGACGGGTTTTTTCCTGGTAGATTGGGAGAGCCGGTCTCTACAGTCCGCACCCATCCCCAGAGCAGGGGTTCACTGAGCGGAAAGTCCCTCCGTGCCCCCTGGAGCCGAGCCT